TTAAAATGAATTTTCAGCCATGTTAATTACAATCATCAAAGCCTTAAAGTGGCCGAATATGAGTATTTTTTACATTTCCAGGCTTTTGCTTATTCTTATGTAGTTTGATGCATAGAATCACATGGTGTCAATTAAAATTCATTTCGAGCAACATTAATAACAACATGAGGAGATATAAAATGGCAGGTTTTGTGCATTTTTTGTAAGATAAAAAAAATAAATATGTTCTCTCCTGAGTTGAACTGTAATAAAATAACTTCATTGATTTTTATGGACAAATAAATAAAAGTTCAGCTAAGTAATTCAATAAGTAGTAAAGACGAGAAAAAGACAGGTGACACCAGGTTTAAGTACACTAGTTAGTATTTTGCTTCAAGACAATTTACATTACGAAGAAAGCAGACATATTTCTGCACTACTTTCACCTGTCTTTTACATCGCCATGCTTTGTTTCCACTGAGACACTATAGAAAATGAAAAGATAATGATACACAGATACATGGACAGATAGATAGCCATGATGAATGCCATGGTAGACATTTTGTGTAGTACTCATTTTAACAAGTCATGAAAAACAAATGAAAATTTACTTGCAATTTCCATTTTCTTATAACGCAATTATGGAATATTTTCTGTAATATGTTAATTTTAATTTTTTCTTATTCAATCTTCCTAAATCAGATGTATCATCCATTTTAGATTTTTCTATAAATAATAATAATAATAATAATAATAATAATAATAGCTAGCCACTCGTATTCTAGCACAATCATATACTAACTATCCAATCCCGATTACTGACGCTTGTTCAGGCGTATTTGTGTTTATTCAGCGTCCACAACGCCCACTTGTGGTTTATACTGCAAATATACTGAGCAGACATTAGTTACAGTTTCTGGGAAAAGAACGTGTTATTTAGCGTGATCAACAATTTGAACAAGGCCAGTACGCTCAAGCCCTCGGCCACGATGACTTGTGACTTTGTGCTAGCAGAGCCCTCGACGGCCCTAATTTCACTCACAAGACTTGGGTGAAACCGTGGTAATGTTTTTCAGGTATTTTCCAAAGGCGACGCACACTGAGATTGGCCCCTCTGATTCGATAACATGAGAAAGGAAATTCCTGACAAATCGACCATGGTGAGATTCGAACCAGATTCTCATGATCAGAATGCGAATGTTCTAACCACTCAGCTTTATCAATACATACATACATACATTTTCCCCGTTACTAACCATTTACGTTGAGTGGCACTTAGGCCTTGTATCAGGTGAACAACATAATATATATATATATATATATATATATATATATATATATATATATATATATATATATATATATATAATGTGTTGAATGTAAATTTTATATGCAAATTTTAACTGCATATATATATATATATATATATATATATATGCAGTTAAATATATATATATATATAAATATATATATATATATATATATATATATATATATATATATATATATATATATATATATATATACAGTTAAAATGTGTTGCATATAAAAATTGCATTCAACACATTATTTTTTATTTCAATTTATAAATAATTTTGATAATCCTGTCAAATATTCTTACCATTTCAATATGATGCAAATTGATATGTATGCAAAGAACCGTACACACACACACACACACACACACACACACATATATATATATATATATATATATATATATATATATATATATATATATATATATATATATGTGTGTGTTTATATATATATATCAGATATTTATATATATAAATATCTGATGTGTATATATATATATATAAAATATATATATCAGATATTTATATATATATGTTTAATTTTCATCTATCAATCTCAATTTCTTTATATAACTATTAATCTGACACACACACACACACACACAGACTCTCTCTCTCTCTCTATATATATATATATATATATATATATATATATATATATATATATATATAATTCAATAAAACAAAAATCAAGCGTTGACAAAAAATATTTGTAAAATTTATATAAATTTTATATTGGTTCGACGAATGGAACTTTTAAAACAAGATATTACAGCTATAAATCATCATTCAGACAAGCAAGCATAAATCTGATTTCATTTCGTTCTATTCATCTCATTCTATTCATATCTATCTATTTACTTCTTTTAAGAGTCTACTTCCAAACAGGAATAACAAAAGTTGGCAGGTCAGCTCATACTAAAATTACAATAATCTATTGACATTTACGAATACTTCTTCTGAAAAATTGTTTGAAATCTTCTTTTGTTTCTATCATGGCATGTCTTACCTAAGTTTGAATAGCTCCCACCCAAATACTCATTTTCGGCCTGATCTGACTCTTGTAATACTAGAGGATAGAGTGAGGATTCGGGTACAGGGAGCGATACAGAGAGCCGACCATTTTGTTGGACTGTTTTCTTCTGATGATGTATGGTAGAGTTCTCACGGACATATTTTAGCCTGATGCAATGTCATGAAAGATACTTCTTCGGCAATGCCACTAACAGAAATTATTTAGCAGACAAATGAGTTAAACACCCATTTCGACTGACAGACATTTGACGAGAAGACTTAATGACCAAATCGTTATGAAATTAAAAACAATTTTAATTTTGCGTGCGTTTTTTCTCCTCTTTTTTACAGTAAGGTTCGCCCTTTACAAAACCCGGAGGCCACTGAGGTAGAGGGTTACGTTTGGAGGCTATTTGTGTGTAGAGAAATGGAAGACAACGGTTTAAGAAAGCCTTAAACAGGTTAAGATTGTAGTGATCGGGGAAGCAACCACTTGGGAGTCGGTTGCACAAAGCAGACAGAGGGTTAAAGAGGAAGAGACATAGTTTATGTGGATATGTGGGGAATCCTAGACATGAACAAGTTAAGATTGTAATGATTGGGGAAACATCTTCTAGGGAGTCAGTTCCCATCGGGCAGTGGTCCACAGGAAGAAACTGTTTGAGTGGAAATACGGGGGGAATGCGGGTGGTTTGCTACTATGTAAGTGGCATGGCTGGTCCTTGCTATGATTGTTTGAACTTACAGGGAATGTAGTTCGTTCGAGCACTTTCCATGGAAGTAGCGATAGAGCAGAGAAATGTTTGCTATATCCCGCCTGTGGGAGTGGGGTTGGAGAGTGGAGCATAATTCGTCACCCACAATGGCTCGGAGACGCTTTTGGACTCTGACAAGACTGAAGAGAGAGGTGTGGGCAGCTCCCATTCAAATATGACAACAATGCTCCAGTTTTGGCTTGATTTTTGTCTTGTAAAGTTAGAGGATAGCAAGAGTCAGATACTTACTGAAGCGTCACAGGGAGTCGGCCATTTTCCCAGGATCCTTAGAAATGGAGGATTAAAGAAAGATCCAATCACTCGAATCAACCCCAACAAGGATACAGTGTTTAACTGTCATATATACACCCTTTTGCTAATTAACTGAAACAAGTACTTTAGTTTTTCTTTCAACATACGGTCAGTTTTAGACCCTCTGGAGTGACAGGGTGAAATTTAATTGGCCTTGAAAAATATTGCGTGATTACATCAGATTTTCATCAAGCCCAGACATTATTGTCTCGATTGTCGATTAGTTGTCCTCCGCTATTGTCTTCGATGAGCGTTACTCCAAGGAAGCTTACGAACATGGTAACGCTAGAGGAAACACGTGCAAGACTTACCAATGAACAAATCAAAGTACTAAAAAGACTGGCTAGGAAACACTCCTGATTTACATCCACTCAAGAATCAGTGGTCAATCTGCAAGAATGCATTTCGTGGAATGGACATACGAATTACTAACATGTGCAGTGGATCATATTTCATTGGAAAAATACGAAAAAAATAAATAATGACGGAATTAATCGTTTTGTTTCAATGAATTTGCACAAGATGACGATGAAATCGGATGCTGGTATCAAAAATCACTTTGGTGTTCATGGATGTCGCAACGAGATGAAAGAAATTACAAGTGATAAGGAGAATGAGAGGCCGCTTTCCTCTAAGTAAGATGTGACAACCACAATGTTTATGTGTCATGATGTCCCAAATATTTTCATTTGATAACCTTCTCTTCATATACAGAAAATAGTTTTCCCATCTGTCATTCCAGAATGAAGAATAAATAGACCCATAGATAAATAGACCAATTTTTTTAGAATATTAAGGCTTATCCAGTCTGTAAACACATGCAACAGAATTCAAATAACAGTTGAATAAATAAACATAAATAAATGCTGAAAAAAACATTTTATCCTAAAATTTCGTAGTCAGCATTTATATAAATAAAATTAGTTTGGGCACATTTTTTTTTTAAATCGATTTCCCCCCATGCCAGGCAGAAATGACACAAGGAGGCTACAGTGTGTGGAACAATTGGAAACATAAAAAATAATAATGAGTAGAAAGTGAAAAGATTAATCAGGAAGGCAATAGATAGATTGCATTTATTTTTTTTTTGGGCAGATTAAAGTTGGCTGGAAAGCAGTGAGCCGGAAGGAAGTTCCATAACCTATTAGCATAGAAGTTACGGATATACATCTAACGAGCTCAAATGTATATTAATGACATCTCGATGCTAGTCGAGTACTGCGCTTAAATTCAAAAACTCATCCGAAGAGTTACCGTAAAAATATTTATAGAAAAGACACAGGGAGGCAACCTTACGGCGGTGGAAAATTGACTGAATCTGAGTCGCCAGATCAGGACCGATAATATTGCTGATTATTTTTTGAGATTTATCAAGGATCTCTAAATATATTACTGGATAGGTGCAGTTCTTTGGGTCAAGTCACTGGATCCAACCAATGCTTTAATCAAATGGCACAGTTTCATTAAAATATTTATATATATATATATATATATATATATATAACTGTCATATATTTCAGAAAAACTGGGACCGACAGCGAATAAATAGGCAAGGTAAAGAATAAATGTTATTTTATGATATGAAAATCCACAATATGTTGCATGTTAATTTTTTGCATGCATGATTTTTGGAGGATATCTATCTATCTATCTATCTCAGTCCATTGCTATCTATCTATCTATCTATCTATCTATCTATCTATCTATCTATCTATCTATCTATCTATCTCAGTCCATTGCTATCTATCTATCTATCTATCTATCTATCTATCTATCTATCTATCTATCTATCTATCTATCTAGGGAGAGCGAGAGAGACAGAGAGAGAACACACACAATGTTATATATATATATATATATATATATATATATATATATATATATATATATATATATATATAGAGAGAGAGAACACACACATATATATATATATATATATATATATATATATATATATATATATATATATATATATATATATATATAAACAACACACACACACACACACACATATATATATATATATATATATATATATATATATATATATATATTTTGTTGGATAGATGTGAGTTTGTGACCCTGGGTTTCACGCTTTTAGCGATCGTCAGACAAACTGATTACTGTTTTAAAAAAAATTGGGTTTATGTAGATTGCGTGTATTGGTGTTATTGTGGAAGTGGTGGGGAGATTTCGTCGTTTTGTCATTCATCGTACTAACGCAAACATCGATGTATGCAGACACATATACATATACATACTTGGTCGTCCGTCAGGACTCATACATATATATAAACATATGTAGACAGTTTCGGCTATGACACATGTATGTATACGGGTGGTGTTATGTCTATACATACGCATTTGTATGTTGAAATGTTGAAATTTAAACATTGGAAGTGTGGCGGAAATGTCTCGTTATTGTCTCGTGAATGTATCCATGTCATATTATGAAATTTTTTTTTTTTTTTTCCGTTGAAAAAATATTTGAAAAATATTTTCTCGCATGTATGTATATATGTGTGGTGGGGTTTGTGTAAAATTATGATAGGTAAAAATTATTATTAAATTATTTATATTTATTTTTAAATTTTTGAAAAAATGGCGGTTTATTTGTTATATTTAAAGCTGGTTATTTGTTTGTTTTTTTGGTGACTGTGTATATGTAACAGGTAAAAATTGTAATCCTTATTGTTTAATTTATATGGTGATGTTTAATTTAATAACGGGTTTATATGATATGATGTGATAGTAATGTTTCAAAGGATTGGAGACAATGCTATTTAGGTTTTAGCTAATAGTTATTGTAAACTGGAAGAAATTGCAGATTGGTGGAAATGATTAGTAACGGTGGTGGGAGAATGATAAAACCATGAATGTAGTTATAGTGGTGGTAGCTTGAACTAAAAAGTGGTTGTTGGTGTTTTATTTTTGTTTTATTTTGTTACATATATTAATTTATTTTGGTATAAATCCTGATAATAGGTATTCTATGTAAAATTATGGTAGTTGAAGATTGCTATAATTTTTAATTACAAAATTATTATTATTATTATATTAAAGCTGCCTGGTAATAGGTGTTTGTTCTCATGGTTACATATGGAAATTATATCTGATCATATTGTTTTAAAGTATTAAATATGCTGGGGGGGTAATAAAGATTGTAGTGGATTATATGTTAATAGTGGGTGTGATGTGTAAGTGATGGTGCTGTGTGTAGGTGGTAATGATAATATTGATAGTTAATAGATATTGTAAGGTGGTAAAAGTGATTACTAATGGTGGTGCAATTATAATAATGATAGGTGCAATTATTTTGATGGTATCTTGAAATTAAATTGTGATTGTTGGTGGTTTGTCTGTTTTATCCGTTTGGTATGAATTCGGATAATAGATATACTTGTTCTCATGCCTACATTTGGAGATTATCTCTGATTTTTTTGTTTAGCAAGTTCTTTTTTTGCGGTTTGTGTGATATTATTGCTACTTTTTTTGTAGGCAAAGTAGGCATTTTTTCGTAATGTTGTTGTAGGCAGGGGGCTTTTTTTCAATATTTCCCAACTTATTGTTGGTGTGATGTTTTTGTCTTTTTGCTGCCATATGTATGTAGAAAGTGTTGTGCTGTTCGAATATTTCCTGTTGTTGAATGAAAGGTTGTGATTGTTATTCCTCATCTTGAATGGACCTTCAGTTTTGATGTAGTGCATAGTGTTGTTGTTTGTACTTACCTTGGCCTTGTATATTGTGTTCGTAATTTGGCAATTTCCTGGAGTGGACATGTTGCTCTGTTTCTGCAGTTGCATATAGGATCCTTGGTTACATTTTTGTAGGTTGTCATTTTTTTTGTTGTGGTTTTTGATTATATCTGTTATGTTTTTTGTACAGCTGTAACTGATCTTTACGTTATTTTTGTTAAATATTTTGATAATTTTTTTTCTTCAGTGAAGTGTTTTTCTATTAAGTTTAGGGATATTTTGCCTATGTTCGTTTTAACAGTTTTGTTATATGGTGGATTAAACCAGATAATGTTTCTCTTTCTGTTTCTGCGTTTTGGCTGTGGAGGTATATATTGTAGTTGTTGTGTGTAACCACTTGCTTTTAGTGCTTCGTTGTATGGTGCTATTTTGCTATTGAAAATTTGCATGTTAGATGAGTTCTCAGATAGTCTGCGGCTGATTGACTTTGGTATTTGTTTGATGATAGAAGGTGGATGGTTGGAGGATGTGTGTACGTAAGTTGGTGTGTCATTTTTCTTTTTGTATGGTTCATATGTATTTGTTGATCAGGTTAAGAGTGACGTCAAGGGAAGTTTACTATAGTTGTGCCTGTATTTATCTTTATTATGAATCCAATGTTTTTTAGGGCGTTCACTATTTTCTTCCTGAATTTGTCTACTTTGGGGACATTGGATTCCCTTATTAAGATAAGACCGTCATCTCTGTATAATCCTGTGTCCTTTCTCTCCAGGATTCTGGCCAGGTATGATAGGATGAGTATGCCTACTAAATCGCATATTTCTGCTCCATCGTAGCTACCCATTGTTACGTCAAACAGGTTGTGGTTTTATAGCAATCTTCAACTACCATAATTTTATATAGAATACCTATTATCAGGATTTATACCAAAATAAATTAATATATATAACAAAATAAAACAAAAATAAAACACCAACAACCACTTTTTAGTTCAAGCTACCACCACTATAACTACATTCATGGTTTTATCATTCTCCCACCACCGTTACTAATCATTTCCACCAATCTGCAATTTCTTCCAGTTTACAATAACTATTAGCTAAAACCTAAATAGCATTGTCTCCAATCCTTTGAAACATTACTATCACATCATATCATATAAACCCGTTATTAAATTAAACATCACCATATAAATTAAACAATAAGGATTACAATTTTTTACCTGTTACATATACACAGTCACCAAAAACAAACAAATAACCAGCTTTAAATATAACAAATAAACCGCCATTTTTTTCAAAAATTTAAAAATAAATATAAATAATTTAATAATAATTTTTACCTATCATAATTTTACACAAACCCACCACATATATACATACATGCGAGAAAAAATATTTTTCAAATATTTTTCAACGGAAAAAAAAAAAAAAAAAAAAAATTTCATAATATGACATGGATACATTCACGAGACAATAACGAGACATTTCCGCACACACTTCCAATGTTTAAATTTCAACATTTCAACATACAAATGCGTATGTATAGACATAACACCACCCGTATACATACATGTGTCATAGCCAAAACTGTTTACATATGTTTATATATATGTATGAGTCCCGACGGACGACCAAGTATGTATATGTATATGTGTCTGCATACATCGATGTTTGCGTTAGTACGATGAATGACAAAACGACGAAATCTCCCCCACCACTTCCACAATAACACCAATACACGCAATCTACATAAACCCAAATTTTTTAAAACAGTAATCAGTTTGTCTGACGATCGCTAAAGCGTGAAACCCAGGGTCACAAACTCACATCTATCCAACCAAATATGTTAGCTCTATCTCTGATATTGAGCGCTTTCTAATAAGTACCGCGCATATAATATATAAATAATTATACATATATATATATATTTATTTATATTTATATTCACTTTTCACATATATTTCGCTCCCCCACAGGTTGAGCACTCGCGCCATTCTTTTTACGATAATGGATAAATTTGACCTACCATACTCACTGAAAAACATCCCCATACCTACTCAAGCTTCATACAAACTCCAACTAACTGAGAAAATCGAAAGTCTAATAAGACGAATGAGATGGAAAGCATATTTCTCCCTCAACGACCCAAAAAACCAAACAACTGAAAAACCCGAGACATTCAACTTTAATACAAAAAAGTGTCCACCAATATGCAAGAAAATGTTAAAATTCGAAGAGGACATGATAAACATAGTTAGAACCTTGAAATTCAAAAGACACTTGGACAATTTCCAGAAAAAAATCATAGACGACAGGAAAAAAATAATCAACTCCAACAAAGTATTCATTTTGGCTGACAAAACCACAAACATATATACCATAGAACCTACAGCCTACAATCAACTCTTAACCAACAAAATTACACAACTATACAAAAAGACAAACACGAACACAATAAACATTATAAACCAAGAAGCCAAAAATATAGCCACCAAATTGAATATAGACGAAAGAGTAAACAAACTAGCTGAACAACATGCTTTCATCACGGCAAAGGACCACAAAGCCAACTTCATAGAAAAACCAACATTCAGACTAATTAACCCGGCGAAGAGCGAGATAGGAAAAATTAGTAAGAAGATATTAGAAAATATCAACACCAGCCTAAGGGAAAAATTAAGTCTCAACCAGTGGAAGAACACCAAAGCCGTCATAGAGTGGTTTAAATCGATAGACAACAAGAACAAATCCACTTTCATCCAATTTGACATTGTGGATTTTTACCTTCCATTACAGAAAGCATATTAAATGAAGCCATACAACTGGCACAGCTAAATGTAAAACTCACGGACGGTGATATAAAAATAATCAAGCATTGCCGCAAATCCCTGCTGTTCCACAACAATGAACCATGGGCAAAGACACAAAACCACAACCTGTTTGACGTAACAATGGGTAGCTACGATGGAGCAGAAATATGCGATTTAGTAGGCATACTCATCCTATCATACCTGGCCAGAATCCTGGAGAGAAAGGACACAGGATTATACAGAGATGACGGTCTTATCTTAATAAGGGAATCCAATGTCCCCAAAGTAGACAAATTCAGGAAGAAAATAGTGAACGCCCTAAAAAACATTGGATTCATAATAAAGATAAATACAGGCACAACTATAGTAAACTTCCTTGACGTCACTCTTAACCTGATCAACAACACATATGAACCATACAAAAAAGAAAATGACACACCAACTTACGTACACATCCTCCAACCATCCACCTTCTATCATCAAACAAATACCAAAGTCAATCAGCCGCAGACTATCTGAGAACTCATCTAACATGCAAATTTTCAATAGCAAAATAGCACCATACAACGAAGCACTAAAAGCAAGTGGTTACACACAACAACTACAATATATACCTCCACAGCCAAAACGCAGAAACAGAAAGAGAAACATTATCTGGTTTAACCCACCATATAACAAAACTGTTAAAACGAACATAGGCAAAATATTCCTAAACTTAATAGAAAAACACTTCACTGAAGAAAACAAATTATCAAAAATATTTAACAAAAATAACGTAAAGATCAGTTACAGCTGTACAAAAAACATAACAGATATAATCAAAAACCACAACAAAAAATGACAACCTACAAAAATGTAACCAAGGACCCTATATGCAACTGCAGAAACAGAGCAACATGTCCACTCCAGGAAATTGCCAAATTACGAACACAATATACAAGGCCAAGGTAAGTACAAACAACAACACTATGCACTACATCGAAAGCACCGAAGGTCCATTCAAGATGAGGAATAACAATCACAACCTTTCATTCAACAACAGGAAATATTCGAACAGCACAACACTTTCTACATACATATGGCAGCAAAAAGACAAAAACATCACACCAACAATAAGTTGGGAAATATTGAAAAAAGCCCTGCCTACAACAACATTACGAAAAAAAATGCCTACTTTGCCTACACGAAAAAGTAGCAATAATATCACACAAACCGCAAAAGAACTTGCTAAACAAAAATCAGAGATAATCTCCAAATGTAGGCATGAGAACAAGTATCTATTATCCGAATTCATACCAAACGGATAAAACAGACAAACCACCAACAATCACAATTTAATTTCAAGATACCATCAAAATAATTGCACCTATCATTATTATAATTGCACCACCATTAGTAATCACTTTTACCACCTTACAATATCTATTAACTATCAATATTATCATTACCACCTACACACAGCACCATCACTTACACATCACACCCACTATTAACATATAATCCACTACAATCTTTATTACCCCCCCAGCATATTTAATACTTTAAAACAATATGATCAGATATAATTTCCATATGTAACCATGAGAACAAACACCTATTACCAGGCAGCTTTAATATAATAATAATAATTTTTGTAATTAAAAATTATAGCAATCTTCAACTACCATAATTTTACATAGAATACCTATTATCAGGATTTATACCAAAATAAATTAATATATGTAACAAAATAAAACAAAATAAAACACCAACAACCACTTTTTTAGTTCAAGCTACCACCACTATAACTACATTCATGGTTTTATCATTCTCCCACCACCGTTACTAATCATTTCCACCAATCTGCAATTTCTTCCAGTTTACAATAACTATTAGCTAAAACCTAAATAGCATTGTCTCCAATCCTTTGAAACATTACTATCACATCATATCATATAAACCCGTTATTAAATTAAACATCACCATATAAATTAAACAATAAGGATTACAATTTTTTACCTGTTACATATACACAGTCACCAAAAACAAACAAATAACCAGCTTTAAATATAACAAATAAACCGCCATTTTTTTTTCAAAAATTTAAAATAAATATAAATAATTTAATAATAATTTTTACCTATCATAATTTTACACAAACCCCACCACACATATATACATACATGCGAGAAAATATTTTTCAAATATTTTTCAACGGAAAAAAAAAAAAAAAAAAATTTCATAATATGACATGGATACATTCACGAGACAATAACGAGACATTTCCGCCACACTTCCAATGTTTAAATTTCAACATTTCAACATACAAATGCGTATGTATAGACATAACACCACCCGTATACATATACATGTATCATAGCCGAAACTGTCTACATATGTTTATATATATGTATGAGTCCCGACGGACGACCAAGTATGTATATGTATATGTGTCTGCATACATCGATGTTTGCGTTAGTACGATGAATGACAAAACGACGAAATCTCCCCCACCACTTCCACAATAACACCAATACACGCAATCTACATAAACCCAAATTTTTAAAACAGTAATCAGTTTGTCTGACGATCGCTAAAGCGTGAAACCCAGGGTCACAAACTCACATCTATCCAACCAAATATGTTAGCTCTATCTCTGATATTGAGCGCTTTCTAATAAGTACCGCGCATATAATATATAAATAATTATACATATATATATATTTATTTATATTTATATTCACTTTTCACATATATATATATATATATATATATATATAAATAAAAAAAAGAAAGAACAGTAAGATATAAAATCCGGTGTTCTTATAGATATTTTTATTTTTACAAAATAGTGCTCAATGTAAATTTACAGAGCATTAATATTATAATTAATTGATTTAAAATATGTTTTTTTTTTTCAACATGGTTGGAACTGTGTAGCGAAAAAACCGTATTTTAAATCAATTTAATATATATATATATATATATATATATATATATATATATGTGTGTTCTTTAATCTAACTCAGTCTTCATTTATCTATCTGTTTGTTTGTCTCAGTCTCTATCTATCTATCTATCTATCTATCTATCTATCTATCTATCTATCTATCTATCTATCAAAAATCAAAACATCACCATAGGATGCATTAAGAAAGAAGGCTATCAAAACAATTTTCATTTACACAAACAGAAACTGAAATGTCTGCGGGACAATTCAACTAACAAAACGAATCATTTCAAACAATTTCCCTCCTTGTAAGATAAAACAATGTCTACTGAAAGCTATTGAAAGATAAGTGTTTTAAAGGCCATCTTTCATGTCCGCATCGGTGCTCACTTGACACCCGCACTTCAATTATTTTTATCCGTTATTCGTGAATAGACGACAAAGCAAATATTCAAAGTGGGCGCAAACAGGCATAAATTTACCTGAGTGTTTATTTATCTATTCATCTCTGGGTTATCTGCCCATGGATCCATCTCGTTCTGTTTTGATATCTACTTGTGTGTGTTTTTCATTTTGTTTTTATATATTATTCAGTCGGATAATATTTGTCTCTCATTAAATCAATCACCTCATCAATCTATTTGGACGCAAAAACATGCGGCTAACAAGGAACACACATCTCTGAAATTTCATAAATGAACAGAGGCGAGAGAAATTTGTTGCTAGAGAGAAAACTTCCTTCTTGTACGTGAAGTATCTTTTAAGGACGTTAGCGATCATGCCTCTCCACAACTTCTTCTCCTTTGAAGCTCTTAGTAACTTTTATCTTTTCACCCCCCCAGTCTGTGTTCTGACAGCTTATTAAGTAAGAACTCTATTTTCCTGGGTAGATTGAAATCTTTAGCTTTGGGTGGCAATTAGTCTTCTTTTTTTCTCTTCTTTTTTCTTCTTCCACTTTTTTCTTCTTCCACTTTTTTCTTCTTCGTCTATCTCTGCTTTCTTCTACTTCATTTTCTTTTTCATATTATATTTTCTTCTTCTTTCTCCTTCCTCTCATCCTTTCTCATATTCTTCTTCCTCTTTTTTCATCTTCTTCTTCTTCTTCTTCTTCCTCATCATTCTTCTTCGTCACCTTATAGTTTCGTCTTCTAACTTCTTCCTCATCTTCTTCCTTTCCTCATACATTCTTCTTCCTCTTCTTCTTCGTTTTCCTCTTCTTTCTTCTACTTTTCTTTTACTTCTTCTTCTGTCTCTTACTCTCCTTCTTCTTTACATTTCTTGTTCATCTTTTTTATCTTCATTTTCGTTTTCTTCTTCTTCTTTCTTCTTCCTCTTCTTATTCTTCATCTACATCTATATCTTTCTTTCTCTTCTTCTTCTTCTTCATCGTCCACTTATATTTTCTTCTTCGCCCTCTTCTTCCTCCTCTTCTTCTCGTTTTTCTTCATATTCTACTTCCTCTTCATTCTTCTATTTCTTTCTTACTTTCTTTCTTTTTTCTTTCACAAGATCGTAAGGTAAATTACACGCCGTATTCCACTCTTTCAACTAACTTCAACATGCCCTGTCAGTGCAATATTCTCCAAGTCTTCTTTTCTCATTATCTGACAGAAAACTGTCAAATGTCGCTTTTGATTCTAAACACAAGCGACCTTTTTGCTTCTATTCACCTTAAAACTTATACTCCGTAAGAGGCATTGTTTTCTCTAAAATCGCGTAATTCAAATGCTGATTGTCAATACAATGTAGAAACTGATGATCTGTATACCATACATAAATGGCCATGATCTAGTTTAAGGCGGCCATATCGATGCAAGAAAATCTTTTTTATGCGTTTGTAAATACTCGCGTCTACTTATCAATTTTTACGAACTTTGATAGGATGAAATATATAGATGAAATATCTACGTCTGATTTTTTAATATCTATCTTAGTTTTTTTTAATATCTATCTATCTATCTATCTATCTATCTATCTATCTATCTATCTATCTACCTTAGTCTGTTCTTTAATATCTATCTAATCTTTAATATATGTCACTCTGTCTTAGAATGTTTCTATCTATCTATCTATCTATCTATCTATCTATCTATCTATCTATTTCTATCTGTTCATATCTATCTATCTATCTATCTATCTATCTATCTATCTATCTGTTTGTCTGTTTCTATCTATCTATCTATCTATCTATCTATCTATCTATCTATCTATCTCTCTTAGTTCTTTAATATCTATCTACTTTAATCTGTTCTTTAATATCTATCTATACATCTATTTCAGTCCGTTCTTTAATATCTATGTATCTATTTATGTTTCTGCTCTTTCATATTATCTATCTATCTATCTATCTATCTATCTATCTATCTATCTATCTATCTATGTTAGTCTGTTCTTTAATATCTATCTTAATATCCATCTAGCTAACTATCTTTCCTTTAAAAACATTTCAACCCAAGCATGTAAAAAAAACAAAAAAATAAACATACAAAATGAATATTAATAGTTGTACAATCGACATAAAAAGGTGTCTTCGAGATGATACGTGTCACTCAACGGTAGAAATAATTGCGTAGATTGAACGAATGGCAGAAACAAGATATATGTTAACAGACAAAAATATCGGCAACCCGGAAAGGAAACCGACATTCATGAGAAAAGGAATCACTGAAAGACTGATCACCAAACTCTGTGACTCCCGACACTTGTTCCTCGCAGCTGTGTGCCCCCAGAAACAGACGAAATGACATCGTTTAATAAAAAAAAAAAAAAAAAAACGCAAACATTTTCATAATGGTTGTTTATATTGACTATATTTAATGCGTGATGCTACTATGGTCGACTGATGGCAGATAACGTAATTAATGTTGACATCTGCGCATCGAGTTCCTATGAAGGAGATGAGAAAGAATCGTATCCATGTTTATCTAGATTAAACTAGCCAAAAGGATTTGTCATATCAGCTGTACGAAGATGTTGACTTTATTTACGTAGGGAAAAGGGGATGCGAGAACATCAAATTTTAAGGATGATGCTCGAGAGTTTAAGTTGAACCTAAGGCTTTAGTATTTATGGCATTAGATTCCAAACACAAGCGGCCTTTTTCCTTCTTTTCACCTTAAAACTTATACTCCGTAAGAGGCATTGTTTTCTCTAAAATCGCGTAATTCAAATGCTGATTGTCAATAGAATGTAGAAACTGATGATCTGTATACCATACACAATTGGAAATGACCTATTTTAAGGCGGCCATATCGATGCAATGATATCTATTTTATGCGTTTGTAAATATTCGCGTCTCCTTATTAATTTTTCAATTTTCATTTAGCATGGTACGAACGCTGGTAGGATGAAATATGTCGATGAAGTATCGGTGTTTAATGTTTTAATATCTATCTATCTATCTATCTATCTATCTATCTATCTATCTATCTATCTATCTCAGTCTGTTCTTTAATATCTATCTATCTATCTATCTATCTATCTATCTATCTAAGGCTTTAATATTTCTGCCATTGGATTTTCATTAGATTTTTTCGTTTTCTATTTTTCTATTAAAGTGAATTCAATACACGATTAAAGAGCAACTCATGTTACGCCCAGTTCACACCCCTCCCTGGTTTTTAGACAGGAGTAGTGGTGTATCCCTTACTTAGAAATGGATTTCTGGTTCCTAGTAAAGTCAACTTCAAATCTACACTTCTAACGACTGTGCATGAAAGCTGACATTTTATTCAATAATTATGTTTTCATCTTCGAAAAGGAGTTGACATGCTCGCCTATCCCCGGTCTTTTGAACTGGAGTAGATGTTTATCGTTTGTTTCCTGTTTAGGATTGGATTCCCAGTTCTTTCTTAATTCTACTTCAACTCTTCTTAATTCTACTTCTAATTGCTAAGATGAAAAGAAATATGACTTTTTCGTGTGCATGAGTAGGTAAGAAAATGTAAGTGTCTCGTAGCTTGGTGAAGAAAACGGGCGAATGTGTAAGTTTAAGTTGAGCATGGTGACCTTTTGCCGTTTGCTGCCGTCTGTTGCCATTGTCTCTTTCTGCTGACTTGTCAGTCAGGAAACTTTGCTTAAATATTCCTTCAAAGGGATCACGAAGCATGATTATTTCATTCTTGACGGGAAAGCGACTCGTTGTTTGAAAAATGTTAAATATCCATTTTTGATACATTAATTACTTAACCGGAACAACACTCAATCCTCTGACTTAGAAACCATTTTTCTCGCTGGGTTTTTATTTCCGTCTTTGCTCCCCATCCATACTAATAAATGTAGTATTTTAAAGGAACAAATAATTTATCTTTGAAATTAGATCTTTTTACCGTCGAAGTGTAAGATAACTGCTGTAGGGTGTTCCTTCTAATGAGGCTATTATAGATTCTTCCACATACTATAAAGTACTAGGAAAGTAAGGCTCGGGGGTGGGGACAGTGATATAGACTGTTCTAGTGAGGCTGTTCGCATCTAAGTGAGATAGACAGACCCGGACCCGTTTATGTGGGTTCTACGGGGATTTTTTGGCCGAGCCTACGGTCTCGGATGACCCACATTAAAATAGGCCTTGTGCCACATGTAGCCCTCGTGTGGGGGGTTGTTAGAAAATAATAGAGTTCTAAACTGTTCTACTGAGTCTGTTCGGAGTTCCTGTCGAACTCTCGGCCTTTGGCAGGGAGGAACCCGGACGAGGCTGTGCCGAAGGGCAGAGTTTCGTCCAGGGAGTTAGACAGACCTGAACCCGTTTATGGTGGCTCTACAAGGATTTTTTGGCCGAGCCTACGGTCTCGGATAACTCACGTTAAACTCGGCCTTGTGCCACATATATCCCTCGTGGGTAGGGCTGTTAAACATAACAGTAATCTAAACTGTTCTACTGAGGCTGTTCGCAGTTCCTATCGAACTCACTGCCTTGGGCAGGAAGGAATCCGGACTAGGCAGTGCCGAGGGGCAGAGTTTCGTCAAGTGAGTTAGATGGACTCGAGCCCCTTTGTGTGCGTTCTACGTAGATTTTTTTGGCCGAACCTACAATCACGTTAACCCACGTTAAACTCGGCCTTGTGCCACGTATATCCCTCGTGGGAGAACTGTTAAATATAACAGCGATCTAAACTGTTCTACTGAGGTTGTTCCCACCTCCTGTTGAACTCTCGGCTCACACACTTATTTAATTTTATGAAATTTCGAGAAATTCATTTTTGTACTGCTTAATGTTTATTTTAGTTATATGAAAACTACTTGGAAAATATAAATCATCATTTTTTTTTGTAAAACAGGACCTCAGTTTCTGAAAATCTGCTCTGATTCGTAGAATAAACATTCAATAAAAAAAAAAAGTTTTAATTGTTTTTTATGAACAAGAAATATTATAGACAATATTGTCTTAAGAAAAAAAAACTTTCTTCGATAAATAATGAATTTTTACATGAATTGTAGTTATCAGGGGAGCAACAGTTTCCACTGTCGGGAAGTGCGAGAAAAGAAACTGTTGGAGTAGAATTCGAGGTAGCATTTAGCTATTTCAACAGTAAATTGGTTGGATCTAAACCACGCTTAAACTCACATAGTCCAGGTACGCTGGCAAAAAAACCTTGTCAGAGCAGTTGGCATGAAAATATTTGTAGAAAAGAGAGAGGGAAGCCAGGTCACATCGATGTGAAAATGACTGAAGTCGAGATGCCAAGACAGATCTATTACTTCGCAGATCGTTCTTTGAGTTTTGTTAAGAACCTCGAGATGAATAGTAAGAGTACCAGACCAAACATGGTAGCAGTATTCAATGCTGGGACGAATGCTAGATTTGTAATATTCTTACCATTATTTGGTCATCAGACAGTAAGGCAATCCTGTTTCTGACTCGAAGCCTTTTTTTATGAGAGAATAATTTTGAAAAAAAAAATCAGTTATTCTTCCAACTGGGATTTTTGTGTAAAAAGTTAAGCTTTTGAACATTAAAAAATCTATAGTCACTTCTGAAATACATGTGTTTCAGCCAACACACCAGACGTAGCCAAACCCTCTAAATAACGTTTTCAATTAGTTAATAATCTTTTTTGTTTGATCTCTGACGCTGTAAGATAGTGTACGTTATGAAGAAGAATTAAATTACGATGTAGTATAGACGGCAAGATTAAAAAATCTCATGTCACCTACCACCTGGGGAGGGCAGTCACAGTTTATACTCCATCTCTGTTACAAGTGGATGAGTGCGAGTGGGAGATTAGATAGGGGAAATGGACGAAAAGATTATCTTGTCAATTATGCCTTTAAGTGGCTTTCGAAGTATTCATTTATTTATCTTTACACAAAAGTTCCTTAATGGCATAAGAACGTCGGTTACATAGAACCACTTGAAAATGTCTGTTGATTACAACGAATGTTGGTTCACAAAGTTGTGCCAGACAATTCTTTTACTTTTCAAAATCTAACTCTCTCGTTTATATACTTCCCGTTAAATTTTAACACCTCGAAGTCGAAACTGTTCTTTTAAAAAATGTGATTTCCATCAATATGGCAAATGCTACTCTCTAAAGGGATATCTTATTTCGTCTTTTCGGGCTAACGTTTTCCGCTGACATGAAGTAGAATGATTATATTGTATCATCTCTTAGATTTACTAGTAGAAAAATTGATTCCTTGTGTTGGGCTAGACATTTTGTCCACGCCAGAAACTATCTTACACATTTTGCAATTGTTACTTTTAACTGTAAGTTCTATGACTATAGTTACTTCTCACTTTTGAAATTTTCTTCGGGTTTTTTGCTTTCCTGTCAAATACGATTTTCAAAATATTAAAAGAAATCTTTTTCTATTATTATCGTTCTTCATTTTTCTCTCTTCTCTTCTCTTCGTAAAGCATTGTTTTTATCACTTCATTGAAGTGAAAATATTTAAAAAAAATTACTATTAACCTATGTTTTAAAGAAAATAGAAACAAAAGGACATATGCTTAGAATCAGAAAAAAAGGCAGTTGAAACGAGGAAAGAGGGCTTGGATAATTTGACACTCAATTGATATATCGGACTGATGGGCGGGTGAACTTTCTTGAATGGAGTGCACAACTATAAGAACGGATATGTGGAGCATTGGCAAATAGAGGAACATTACGAAAACTTACAGATGAGAGGAAGTTGTGGAGAACCATGCTCAGAAATCATGCGACACAGAAGATGAAGGCTCACGTATGAACGGTAACTTTGTCGCTTTTCATAGATTCGCGTCATTTATTGATGCTATTTTAAAGCAAAATATTCCAAACGATGTTACAAAAAACATAATCAATTCATCAACTATACTATTATTATTATTATTTCCTTTGATTTCTAGTGTATACTCATTTGTTTCCGGCTCCCAACCAGAGACCTAAGGTCAGAAATCGCATCATGACATTTTCCACTAAGCAGTTTTGAAAAAAAACCCCAAAAAACATCGCATACATTTTACATCGATAAAGCCCTTCGTAATGTGTGGGCTGTACTTGTAAGTACAATTTTGTATTTCTTTAAGGTATGGGTTTCCAGGAATCCCTTCAATGAGTCTATTGGAATCTTTTTCAATCAATCCGAGGGCTCCAACTGCAAATGGAATTGTTAATGTTCTCATGTGCTACATTTTTTAGATTTCGAGTTCAATTACGTTGTATTTTGATAGATTTTTGAATATCTTCTAATATACATTACAATCTGCAGTGACTGTCAATAAGAAAACAAATTCTGTTCTTGTGGTCTTCGATCACGATGTCTGGGCGTTTAGTTATTATTATTATTATTATTATTATTATTATTAGACCATATTATTATACTATGTTATTATTAGTATTTTGTATCTTTGTATTTTTATAATTGTTATTGTAATATATTAATATCATTATTTATTATTATTACTATTATTATTATATTATTGTTATTGTACTATAATATTACTATTATTATCATTACTAAAAGTATTTACATTGTTATTATTATTATACTATTTTTTTTATTAATATTATTATTATATCATACTACAGTGTAACCCGGATATAAGAGAGTTGTCGGGACCGGAGAAGAAGTCTCTTATATCCGGGTTTCTCTTATATCCGGGTTTGGTCTATTTTGTTTAGGTAAGTATGGGAACACTTTGGGACCAGAGAAAATCTCTCTTATATCCGGGTTTCTCTTATGTCCGGGTCTCTTATATCCGGGTTACACTGTATATAATATTTACTATGAATATCACTACTATTAGTATCGCATCACGTTAAAACATTGGTTCACGTACGATCACCGGAGATAAGCAACGTCTATCCTGTTCAGTACCTAGATGAATGGCAGCCTCCGAATATCAAGTGCTGTAAGTTTGGATGTGCGGGTGGTGTAATGGTTAATAGCTCGGAATTTATGAATCGGAGTACAGAGTTCGAATTCCAGTTGGGTTCGTTATCGTCATTTACATGCAAATACTCTTGAGAAAGG